ATGATGGTTGTAGGTGTTGTGTTGTTGATGTTGTAATGAGTGGTGTTCGAGTGGTGGTGGTCGATGTGGATTGTGTGGTGGACACATTGTAGTCTGGTGGGACATCAGTGACAACTACTGGAACTGCGGCTGGTTGTAATGTTGATGATGGTTGTAGGTGTTGTGTTGTTGATGTTGTAATGAGTGGTGTTCGAGTGGTGGTGGTCGATGTGGATTGTGTGGTGGACACATTGTAGTCTGGTGGGACATCAGTGACAACTACTGGAACTGCGGCTGGTTGTAATGTTGATGATGGTTGTAGGTGTTGTGTTGTTGATGTTGTAATGAGTGGTGTTCGAGTGGTGGTGGTCGATGTGGATTGTGTGGTGGACACATTGTAGTCTGGTGGGACATCAGTGACAACTACTGGAACTGCGGCTGGTTGTAATGTTGATGATGGTTGTAGGTGTTGTGTTGTTGATGTTGTAATGAGTGGTGTTCGAGTGGTGGTGGTCGATGTGGATTGTGTGGTGGACACATTGTAGTCTGGTGGGACATCAGTGACAACTACTGGAACTGCGGCTGGTTGTAATGTTGATGATGGTTGTAGGTGTTGTGTTGTTGATGTTGTAATGAGTGGTGTTCGAGTGGTGGTGGTCGATGTGGATTGTGTGGTGGACACATTGTAGTCTGGTGGGACATCAGTGACAACTACTGGAACTGCGGCTGGTTGTAATGTTGATGATGGTTGTAGGTGTTGTGTTGTTGATGTTGTAATGAGTGGTGTTCGAGTGGTGGTGGTCGATGTGGATTGTGTGGTGGACACATTGTAGTCTGGTGGGACATCAGTGACAACTACTGGAACTGCGGCTGGTTGTAATGTTGATGATGGTTGTAGGTGTTGTGTTGTTGATGTTGTAATGAGTGGTGTTCGAGTGGTGGTGGTCGATGTGGATTGTGTGGTGGACACATTGTAGTCTGGTGGGACATCAGTGACAACTACTGGAACTGCGGCTGGTTGTAATGTTGATGATGGTTGTAGGTGTTGTGTTGTTGATGTTGTAATGAGTGGTGTTCGAGTGGTGGTGGTCGATGTGGATTGTGTGGTGGACACATTGTAGTCTGGTGGGACATCAGTGACAACTACTGGAACTGCGGCTGGTTGTAATGTTGATGATGGTTGTAGGTGTTGTGTTGTTGATGTTGTAATGAGTGGTGTTCGAGTGGTGGTGGTCGATGTGGATTGTGTGGTGGACACATTGTAGTCTGGTGGGACATCAGTGACAACTACTGGAACTGCGGCTGGTTGTAATGTTGATGATGGTTGTAGGTGTTGTGTTGTTGATGTTGTAATGAGTGGTGTTCGAGTGGTGGTGGTCGATGTGGATTGTGTGGTGGACACATTGTAGTCTGGTGGGACATCAGTGACAACTACTGGAACTGCGGCTGGTTGTAATGTTGATGATGGTTGTAGGTGTTGTGTTGTTGATGTTGTAATGAGTGGTGTTCGAGTGGTGGTGGTCGATGTGGATTGTGTGGTGGACACATTGTAGTCTGGTGGGACATCAGTGACAACTACTGGAACTGCGGCTGGTTGTAATGTTGATGATGGTTGTAGGTGTTGTGTTGTTGATGTTGTAATGAGTGGTGTTCGAGTGGTGGTGGTCGATGTGGATTGTGTGGTGGACACATTGTAGTCTGGTGGGACATCAGTGACAACTACTGGAACTGCGGCTGGTTGTAATGTTGATGATGGTTGTAGGTGTTGTGTTGTTGATGTTGTAATGAGTGGTGTTCGAGTGGTGGTGGTCGATGTGGATTGTGTGGTGGACACATTGTAGTCTGGTGGGACATCAGTGACAACTACTGGAACTGCGGCTGGTTGTAATGTTGATGATGGTTGTAGGTGTTGTGTTGTTGATGTTGTAATGAGTGGTGTTCGAGTGGTGGTGGTCGATGTGGATTGTGTGGTGGACACATTGTAGTCTGGTGGGACATCAGTGACAACTACTGGAACTGCGGCTGGTTGTAATGTTGATGATGGTTGTAGGTGTTGTGTTGTTGATGTTGTAATGAGTGGTGTTCGAGTGGTGGTGGTCGATGTGGATTGTGTGGTGGACACATTGTAGTCTGGTGGGACATCAGTGACAACTACTGGAACTGCGGCTGGTTGTAATGTTGATGATGGTTGTAGGTGTTGTGTTGTTGATGTTGTAATGAGTGGTGTTCGAGTGGTGGTGGTCGATGTGGATTGTGTGGTGGACACATTGTAGTCTGGTGGGACATCAGTGACAACTACTGGAACTGCGGCTGGTTGTAATGTTGATGATGGTTGTAGGTGTTGTGTTGTTGATGTTGTAATGAGTGGTGTTCGAGTGGTGGTGGTCGATGTGGATTGTGTGGTGGACACATTGTAGTCTGGTGGGACATCAGTGACAACTACTGGAACTGCGGCTGGTTGTAATGTTGATGATGGTTGTAGGTGTTGTGTTGTTGATGTTGTAATGAGTGGTGTTCGAGTGGTGGTGGTCGATGTGGATTGTGTGGTGGACACATTGTAGTCTGGTGGGACATCAGTGACAACTACTGGAACTGCGGCTGGTTGTAATGTTGATGATGGTTGTAGGTGTTGTGTTGTTGATGTTGTAATGAGTGGTGTTCGAGTGGTGGTGGTCGATGTGGATTGTGTGGTGGACACATTGTAGTCTGGTGGGACATCAGTGACAACTACTGGAACTGCGGCTGGTTGTAATGTTGATGATGGTTGTAGGTGTTGTGTTGTTGATGTTGTAATGAGTGGTGTTCGAGTGGTGGTGGTCGATGTGGATTGTGTGGTGGGCACATTGTAGTCTGGTGGGACATCAGTGACAACTACTGGAACTGCGGCTGGTTGTAATGTTGATGATGGTTGTAGGTGTTGTGTTGTTGATGTTGTAATGAGTGGTGTTCGAGTGGTGGTGGTCGATGTGGATTGTGTGGTGGACACATTGTAGTCTGGTGGGACATCAGTGACAACTACTGGAACTGCGGCTGGTTGTAATGTTGATGATGGTTGTAGGTGTTGTGTTGTTGATGTTGTAATGAGTGGTGTTCGAGTGGTGGTGGTCGATGTGGATTGTGTGGTGGACACATTGTAGTCTGGTGGGACATCAGTGACAACTACTGGAACTGCGGCTGGTTGTAATGTTGATGATGGTTGTAGGTGTTGTGTTGTTGATGTTGTAATGAGTGGTGTTCGAGTGGTGGTGGTCGATGTGGATTGTGTGGTGGACACATTGTAGTCTGGTGGGACATCAGTGACAACTACTGGAACTGCGGCTGGTTGTAATGTTGATGATGGTTGTAGGTGTTGTGTTGTTGATGTTGTAATGAGTGGTGTTCGAGTGGTGGTGGTCGATGTGGATTGTGTGGTGGACACATTGTAGTCTGGTGGGACATCAGTGACAACTACTGGAACTGCGGCTGGTTGTAATGTTGATGATGGTTGTAGGTGTTGTGTTGTTGATGTTGTAATGAGTGGTGTTCGAGTGGTGGTGGTCGATGTGGATTGTGTGGTGGACACATTGTAGTCTGGTGGGACATCAGTGACAACTACTGGAACTGCGGCTGGTTGTAATGTTGATGATGGTTGTAGGTGTTGTGTTGTTGATGTTGTAATGAGTGGTGTTCGAGTGGTGGTGGTCGATGTGGATTGTGTGGTGGACACATTGTAGTCTGGTGGGACATCAGTGACAACTACTGGAACTGCGGCTGGTTGTAATGTTGATGATGGTTGTAGGTGTTGTGTTGTTGATGTTGTAATGAGTGGTGTTCGAGTGGTGGTGGTCGATGTGGATTGTGTGGTGGACACATTGTAGTCTGGTGGGACATCAGTGACAACTACTGGAACTGCGGCTGGTTGTAATGTTGATGATGGTTGTAGGTGTTGTGTTGTTGATGTTGTAATGAGTGGTGTTCGAGTGGTGGTGGTCGATGTGGATTGTGTGGTGGACACATTGTAGTCTGGTGGGACATCAGTGACAACTACTGGAACTGCGGCTGGTTGTAATGTTGATGATGGTTGTAGGTGTTGTGTTGTTGATGTTGTAATGAGTGGTGTTCGAGTGGTGGTGGTTGATGTGGATTGTGTGGTGGACACATTGTAGTCTGGTGGGACATCAGTGACAACTACTGGAACTGCGGCTGGTTGTAATGTTGATGATGGTTGTAGGTGTTGTGTTGTTGATGTTGTAATGAGTGGTGTTCGAGTGGTGGTGGTCGATGTGGATTGTGTGGTGGACACATTGTAGTCTGGTGGGACATCAGTGACAACTACTGGAACTGCGGCTGGTTGTAATGTTGATGATGGTTGTAGGTGTTGTGTTGTTGATGTTGTAATGAGTGGTGTTCGAGTGGTGGTGGTCGATGTGGATTGTGTGGTGGACACATTGTAGTCTGGTGGGACATCAGTGACAACTACTGGAACTGCGGCTGGTTGTAATGTTGATGATGGTTGTAGGTGTTGTGTTGTTGATGTTGTAATGAGTGGTGTTCGAGTGGTGGTGGTCGATGTGGATTGTGTGGTGGACACATTGTAGTCTGGTGGGACATCAGTGACAACTACTGGAACTGCGGCTGGTTGTAATGTTGATGATGGTTGTAGGTGTTGTGTTGTTGATGTTGTAATGAGTGGTGTTCGAGTGGTGGTGGTCGATGTGGATTGTGTGGTGGACACATTGTAGTCTGGTGGGACATCAGTGACAACTACTGGAACTGCGGCTGGTTGTAATGTTGATGATGGTTGTAGGTGTTGTGTTGTTGATGTTGTAATGAGTGGTGTTCGAGTGGTGGTGGTCGATGTGGATTGTGTGGTGGACACATTGTAGTCTGGTGGGACATCAGTGACAACTACTGGAACTGCGGCTGGTTGTAATGTTGATGATGGTTGTAGGTGTTGTGTTGTTGATGTTGTAATGAGTGGTGTTCGAGTGGTGGTGGTCGATGTGGATTGTGTGGTGGACACATTGTAGTCTGGTGTGACATCAGGTGCTTTTTCTATATTTTGTTTTAATTTGTCTGTCGTGTCGATATTTCTGTCTGTCCTTTTTTCTAAAACGTTCTCTGTCGATTTTTTTTCGTACTTCTTTTGTTCTTCTGTGGTTTTTTCAACTTTCGTTGAATTTATTTCATCTTCGTCTGTTTCTTTCTCTTCGAATTTCAATTGTCGCTTTTCAATCCAAACCGGTACCTCTTCGTTTTCGTTTAATGTGTCGTTTTGTTTTTTCTCAAGAATGTTATCTTTATTCTTTTTTTCTTTCCGACTTTCTTCAGTAATTTTTCTGTCCTGTTCTTCGTTTTCCGAATTTTCGTCTTCGTCTTCTTTTTTGAATATTTCTTCATCTATATTAATATATCTTTCATTCTCCTCGTTATTTTTATCGTGGTCACTCGTTTCTTCATAATCTCTGATAATATTTCTCTCATTTTCTGATTCCATTTGATCACAAACATAACTTTGCAATTTATATAATGTATTTTTTTCTCCTAACTCTTTTTTGTCATCTAAAGGACCATTCAATCTTGTTTCTCTTCTATTCACATGATAATTTATCGATTGTTGGCTGTTATCAATTACATTGTTTTGATTCAATGATTTCACAAATGTTGAGATTGTTTGATTTTGTTGTATATGATTGTTGAATTCGTTTAGTTGTCCACTTATATGATTTAATTGTAGTACAATCAAATAGAAGCATAATTGCAAATAAGTTATGGTCATCAACATCACGATTTTCGTTTTAATGCATTTCAATTTCATTAAATAATGAAATGTGATATTGAACTTTGAATGTCTTATTTGATCATGTTATAGATATAAGAATCAGTGATGTTTACATGATGATTTTCTTCTTAAGAATGTGATTATTGTGTGATCTGAAAATAAAAAGTACAAGTGAATTTTAACTTTACTTATATTTTCTAAATGGATTCTTAGATTCATTCATTACTTACTTACTTACGCCTGTTACCCTCAGTCGAGTATAGGCCGCCAACCAGTTTTCTCCAACCAAGCCTGTCCTGGGCTTCCTTCTCCAGTTCTGTCCAATGTTTGTTCATTCCTCTCATATCTTTCTCTATTTCTCAGCGTAATGTATTCCTTGGCCTTCCTGTTTTCCTTTCACATTGAGGGTTCCATGTGAGGGCTTGTATCGTGGCGCAGTTCAGTGGTTTACGCGGTGTGTGTCCTATCCACTTCCACCGCTTCTTCCTGATTTCCTACTACACTGGAATCTGGTTTGTTCTCTCCCAAAGGAAGTCGTTGCTGATGGTTTCTGGCCAACGAATCCGAAGTGTTTTGCGTAGACAACTGTTAACAAACACTTGTATCTTCTGGATGATGGCTTTGGTAGTTCTCCAAGTTTCCGCTCCATACAGTAGAACTGTTTTCACATTTGTATTGAAAATTCTGATTTTGGTTTTGGTTGAAAGTTGTTTGGAGTTCCAAATATTTTTCGACTATAGAAATGCAGTTCTTGCTTTGCCGATCCGCGCCCTCACATCTGCATCGGATCCACCTTGATTGTCAATGATGCTGCCCAGATATGTAAAGGTGTTAACGTCCTCCAAGGCATCTCCATCAAGAGTGATTTGGTTGACGCATGTTGTGTTGTATCGTAGAATCTTACTTTTCTCTTTATGTATGTTGAGAGGCTGCTGCTACACTGGTCGTCTTCTCTTGCATTTATTGTTGCGTGTGCGATAGAAGAGTCAGGTCATCTGCGAAGTGCAGATTGTCCAGCTGTGTCCTAACTGTCCAGTTGATACCGTGCTTCCCTCCAGATGTCTACGTTTTCATAATCCAGTCGATCACCAGAATGAGAAAGAGAAAGGGTGAGAGTAAGCAACCTTGCCTCACACCGGTCTTCACCTCGAAACAGTCTGTTAGCTGTCCTTGTTGTACGAGTTTGCAGTTGAATCCATCATAAGAATTCCGTATGATGATAACTATCTTCTCAGACACACCGTAGTTTTGAAGAATCCTCCACAGTGTTTTCCTATCCACGCTATCGAATGCTTTCTCGTAGTCGATGAAGTTGATGTAGAGTGGTGAGTTCCATTCAATTGATTGTTCCACAATGATCCGTAATGTAGCGATTCGGTCAGTACATGATCGATCCTTACGAAATTCAGCCTGTTGATTTAGAAGTTGGGCGTCTACGAAGTCCTTCATTCTGTTTAACACCTACTTCTCTGTACTTCAGTGTTGCTGATTACTTTGCCTTCCTTGCTTTTCACTGGTCGTTCTGGTTTACGATAGTTTCCGGCCAGCTTCTTTGTAGTTTCGTACAATTGTCTCATGTTTCCTTCTCTTGCAGCCTTTTCCGCCGTCATTGCTAGATCTTCCACATATTTTCGTTTGTCAGCTCTGGTGCTCTTCTTCATTTCCCTGTTTGCTTCTGTATACTCGGCTTGCGCCTTAACTTTCTCTGCTCTTGTTCGGCTGACATTCACTGCTGCCTTCTTGTTCCTCCTTTCTTCAATTTTTGCAAGAGTATCAACAGAGATCCATTCCTTATGATGGTACTTCTTGTGACCCAGAACTTCATGACATGTTGAAGTGATTGCCTCCTTAATCCCTTTCCAATTGTTCTCCAATGTTGCTTCCTCTCCATTGAGTATATCGTGCAAGGCCTGGAACCTATTGGTGAGGGCTATCTTGAATTCGTTGAGTTTTACGGTATCCCGAAGAAAGGCTGTATTAAACTTCTGTGATGTTGTCTGCCCCATTATCCAGTGTTTCTTGAGTTTCCGTTTCATTTTTGCGGCCAACAAGTGGTGAGCTGAGGCTACATCAGCTCCTCTCCTGGTTCTCACATCCTCCACCGTCTGTCTGAACGCTTTGTTGATACGGATATGGTCGATTTGGTTTTGATTAGTGTGATCCGGTGAAATCAATGTGTCTTTGTGTATTCGTTTGTGCGGGAATACTGTGCCACCGATGACCCTTCCTCCTTTATCCGGGCATGGGACTGGCAGTAGCCCCGAAGGGACTACTGGCGGAGTTTTCTTAGATTAATGAATTTCTCAAATTGTACAACACCCTTCAACAACTTACCGCAATGGAATAAATTCGCTGTTAAGTTGTAAGAATTACACACACTGTTTAAATAGGTTTATATATATATGTAACTGGCTGTAAAGTTTGTAGTTATTTTTGCTAACAATCCTAGTTCACCAATAATACATTGTGTTGATTGAAACATTGTTTCATTTCAATCAAAATTTAATCGTTTTAATCCTACACTTCCTCTTTTCTTTTAAAGATAAATTTTTGAATAAGGTCATCATGATTTGGTAGTTTGTATAGAAAAATAACTCAGACATACATACATACAGATTGTCAATCAATCAATATTAGTTTTATTCCCTATTCTCAATTATTCTCTTAATCTTTATGAACAGTTCAAATGATTAATTATGACATTTTCTTGTAATGCCTTATTTTAAACAATTTGATATAAGTTTTAAAAATCTTACCTTAACACTTCTACATGAATGCGGTTAATCAAAAGTACTTTTAATACAAAATGTATGAGAACTACTGTGAAAATTTATAACAGTACTAGGGCTCAGTAACAATATTCATGACAATAAGCATAAATAATGCGTAAACAAACTGAATTGAAGGGACAAATAAGCAAACGAAATAATAATGGGATCATTCCGAAGAATTGTCAAATAATCAATCAGTAAAGTTAGTTTTCAGATAACAATGTTCAATCACTTCAAATGTAGGCAATCATAGCAAACTAGCAAGTGAAGAGGAGCAGTACAGTTGACAAACGTAAATATGTGGAAGATCCAGCAATGACAGCGGAAAAGGCTGCTAAAGAAGGAAACTTGAGATAATTGTACAATGAAACAAAGAAGCTCTCTGGAAGCTATTGTAAGCCAGAACGACTAGTGAAAGCAAGGATAGCAAAAATCTGCAACTAACTGGCTAAAAAAAGCTTACCAGAAACCATAGTTCTAACGATTTTAACTCTGCCCTGGTAGTTGAAAGGTCTTCTTTCCGAAGAGATGCGACGTCTCATGATGAAAGCTGATTTCTTTTGAAACTCACGAGGTTGATGCCCCTTCTTACAACCAGAGCAACTGTTCTTTTTGGTACAAGGATATATGGGATGTTAGATCCGCAGAACTCACTTGTTAAGTTAGTTTCGGATTTATTATGTTTTCGCTCATAAGACGCTTAGTTGACCTTGAGCTTACATTTCCCACCCGGAAAAATCCTAGACTGTCATTGATTGATGAATTATGTTAGTAGGCTATTTTGTGGATCTTCCAGGGACGTTGCTATCATTGTATAACTAGGCTTGATTTGTGTGCTTGTGAACCTTGTATTTTCCGGTTGCTTGTAGAATACACTTTCTACGCCTTATCAAAACTTTTTGCTATAGTTAGCACGGCCAGGGACAATTGAATCACAATAGCCTGTCGTGTCACTGCATCATTTGTCTTCGCTCTCGTTTACCGAGTAAGGTGAACACGTAATAGCAATCAAGCATATCAATTTATGAGCATGTCCATTGACGACGGTGGCTCTGGGAACATGGATCCTGCCAAACCTCAATTATTACTTGAGCAGCAGCTGAACTTAATGCAAATGCTGACAAGTATCAAGAGTTCGCCTTCCACAACCAAAACACCATCAGTCGACGGCATCGCAAATAACATTGCTGAGTTTCGTCATGATCCTGATGGCAATCTAACTTTCGACATGTGGTTCTGGTGGTATGAAGATCTGTTTAAATTCGATTATGACAATCAAGATAATGCTTCGAAGGTTCGGCTGATACTTCAATAGTTCGGTGAAAGTGAGCTGGACAAGTACTGTAGTTTGATCCTGCCTTCGAACCCACGTGATCACCCATTCTCAGATACAGTCCGGACATGAAACCAACATTTTGGAGACAACTCGTCACTGTCTAATATTCATTATCGATGTTTGAAGCTGGTTATGAACGAAGACGATGATTTTATTACTCATGCGGGCATCGTCAACTGTGAATGTGATCGTTTCCGACTGAAGTCTTCGGGCAGCCCAAGCCTGCAGTGGACAACACTAAAGCCTCATACTTCATGTGCTAATTGCCTTCGCCTGTCAGGACAATTGGAATGTAAGGTTACTTTCTGAGATTCGTCATCTACTGGGATATGTTATATAACACCAGCTGATCTAACTTTACTTGATTTAGATTGATTCGACCGGCTAAAATTAGCTGATATCCCGTTAAATACCATATGCCAGCTGGTATCACGACCAGATGACCCTGAAGCATATACAAGGAGGCTAATGAAGCAGTTTTCGAACATTTTCCCACCAGAATTAGGTAGGTGTTCTGCCATGAAAGCAACACTTCAGTTGAAATCTGGGGCTAAGCCTATTTTCTGTTCAAAGAGACCCGTGCCTTGTGCAACATTACCAACAGTAGATGAAGAATTGGATTGATGCGCCTTCTCGCAACCACACCAGCTATTCTTTTAGGTACATGGAACATTCGTACATTGTGGGAGACTGGAAGACTATTTCAAGTTGCGGCACAAGTGAAAAGATACAACCTCGAGGTGCTCGGCATCAGTGAAACACATTGGACACAGGTAGGATAACTGAGACTAGCTTCAGGGGAACTGCTGTTATAGTCTGGTCATCAACAGGAAAATGCTTCACATACACAAGGAGTTGCACTGATGCTGTCCAAACAAGCACAAAAGGCACTGATA